AATAATAATAATAATAGTAATAGTAATAATAATAATAATAATAATAATAATATTATACGATGCGTCGTCGTCGCTGCCGTCGCCGTCGCCGCCGCCGAACTCCAGACATTACCGCGTTGCGTCTGTCTGTCTCTCCGTCCGTCCGTCCGTCTGCGCGTTATCCCCCCTTCCTCTCTGCCACCCAACCGGTCGCTCACCGCGTCCGCTGCTCTGACCCGTCTTTCTCTTTCTCGGCGCTATTATTTTCGTGCGCGCAATTTTACCGAACGCGCCGTGTCTCTTCTATAGGTACACGTATGGGTATACCGCAATACCGACGTGTATTGTTTTTAACCGCGACGACGGAATACCATAACAACGCTGTGCGATAATAATCATAACAATACCGATAATAATAATTTAACGCCTAGCGCGCCTAATCAGGACCAACACGACGAACGGACCGCGTATCGCGCCGATCTCCTACGGATTTGACCGAAATTATGTGACGACCCGCGCGGGATTATCGACGAAATTCAATTATAACTCGAACGAATGAAAAACAAACGGGGAAAAAAAAAAACAAAACGAAACGTGTGTTTACTGACCAACAATATTACTTTTAAATTATAATATACCTTATACATATTATAATATGTAAAATAAATTGCTTCTTTTACCACCTGTTTTTTCCACTTGATTTTTTTTCGTGTGCTTTTTTTTTCATTTGCTTTTTACCCGTTGCTTTTTCACAGTTGCTTTATATTCCTGAACTCCGATTACATACGTAATCAGACTCTGGTTTACTGTATTTTTACCGAACAGGTATATCAGCGTAGTTTAAAATTTGAGGAGGGGCGGAAGAGGAGTGGTGTAGTTTTGTTTTTAAACGTTATTATAGCGTATAACATTTTTATGAACAAATTAACGCGCGTGAAAACATTTTAGAAGTCTTGGGCTCCGCGACGGGTTTCTTGAAAGTTTAGTTAGGTTTAGTTACTTTTCGAGAACTCTTCTTAATTTTCGGTAAATATAACCCTCTTTTACGACGGCTTTTCACCATTTTTAACCACTGCACCTGTGTACATGGCGTCTATATTAAAATCGCTTGGTCGTTCCGTTTGAACATTCACTGCACCCGTCGACCGGCCGTCCTATATAGTCGTTTTAACAAAATATATTACCGCGAGTATCCATTTAATATGTATGTATAGATACGTGTATTATATTTCAATAACTCTTTTCCTATCCCGCGATTCGTCGAGATTTTATGTTACGCCTGCAGCTTATAATATTATTGGGTTTATTATCCGTTTAACCGGATTAAACAAATTATGTTTAATCCATTGGATCTATTTCTTTAATCCGGATTAGTACATAGACATCCACTTATAATACGAAACGATCGTAATAATTTTATTATCTTTTAATTATCGCACGATATTCGGACATAGTGCGCTGGAACGTGAAGCATGCCATTTCAATGTTCGGTAAACAGCTGCAAACTTACCTCAATCTACCGATCGACCAGAAAAGGAGTTATTCACTAAACAATTTTTTTTTCGAAGAATACTCTTTGTTTAATAGGTATTTCAGATGTTCGCGATTACAGAGTACTCATACATAAATTATTATATTTATGCGATGTTTTGAATTTAACACTTTATTTTAAAAGCTCAATATCGCTGTCGTCAAATAAGAAAACGAAAATCATCGCTACTTCGATGATCGTAGTAATAAAAATGTAATTTGAACCGCTGTGAACACAACATTAGGTATTTTAGATTCTGAGTATAGTGAAGAATGTGTTGGTTTTACAAAGATGTTTATCTTTTTTTATACTGTGTACAAAAATTCGACCAGAAATCTTACTCCAATGTATATGATGCAGACCTTTTCTTGAAAGGAAATTTTCTTGGAATGATACATAAAGGGAGTCAATTTTAGATTTTCTCAGAAGTTTTCTCATAAATGCAAAAAACCGAAAAAAAAACGGGAAAATGTACGAAATATTTTAGTCGAAAAATATTACGACCTTGTTTTTTACTATAAACAGCTTTTATACCAACAGTTTACAATGCCAGCACTTTTTCTGAACGGAAATCTGACTAGCACGGTACTTTAAAGAGTTAATTTTTTTATTTTCCCAAGAGTTTTCCCAGTAAGTGTGAAAAACTGGGAAAAAACATGGGGAAATCAGGAAAAACGTAGAAAAACGGGAAAATCGGTAGAATATTAAACAAATATTATTAAAGAAAATATATAATACCTATTTAATTATTTTACCATAATATGACATATATATATATATATATTGTTGACAAAGCATCACTAACAACTGAACTCTGCTCAGAATCGTTTTTTCATAAGCAGTGGTTATATGTTTCTTACAAATATGTAATAAATTCTCTTCTGATACAGAAGACATCCAAAGGGTACCTATACCTTTCCAACTTCTCACCTACAACCCCACGTGCGAAGTATGTCCGTCTTTTTCATATTATAAATGTATAAAGTGCACGTCTCGTATGCGAATTTTTAATAAAGTGGCCATCGCATTGCGTTCAATAGGCGGTACGGTATAATAATAATATTTCCGCCGTCGTCGTACGCCGTCCGTGTGGTGTTCCGTTTCAGTTTTTAGACACACTACGAATAATACCGTCGTCGTCTTCTTTCTCGTTATAATAATATACGTGACCATCGTCGCCGCCGATATTTATGTAATATATTATTACAATACAGGGTGATTTATTTTGCCACGGATCAGTGGTTAAAACGTCTTCAGAGATTGGAAGAAAATAAATAAAATTCAATTTTCAGAGTACAGCGACCGATCATGCAATTTTTAAATAAATTAATATTCGAAAACCGTCGCTAGGTCAAAACAAGTCATGTTATTGTGTTAATTATAAGTGACGAAATTTGACACAACGATCCATAAAGTACCAGACTCAAATCTCCTTACGAATATTACGGCGTAGAAGTCGATACAATATACTCTTATATAATATAAGAAGTCAGGTTCATCTGTCTGTAATAAATACTAATAACGATTTTTTCTCATGTCGTGAGGTAGATTTGAGTAGAATTGTTCTCGAGATTTTTGCTAACACAGATGGTTGGGCCCTGAGTAGGAAGTTAAAATTTTTTAAAGGCACATTTTCGACAACAATTATTATATTTATGTGATATAATATGTTACAGTTCCCGAAAACCCGAAATCCGTAAAAATAGTAGTTTTAAGCAGTTACTACTAGTTTCCACAAAATATCTTTCGTCAAATCTGGTTTTGGCTAATTAAAACTAGAATTAAAGGCATATTTAAATAAGTCGTTCAAAACTAGTTTTAACTGAAACGGACATATTCGAACTCGTATTAGATATACCTACCTAAAACGCACGTAACCACAGGCGATCTATAAATATCGTTCGATTAATTCGACCAACCTACTATCAAATCAATTAGGTAAGATAACTGCCACCGACTATACCTAACAATAACCAGGGCCGTGTTTGAAAATTTTGCACCCCGGGCCAACATATTTCCGCCTCCCCTAACCCCACCACCTCTCGAAAAAAGTTATTTTTTACCTACATATTATGCTACTCTCACTAATTTAATATTGGCAAATTAGAAATATATACAATATACACTAAATACATTCATGGGTGTTTTATTGTTGTCAGATTTAGTATGAATAATAATTATGATTATACAAATTTAACAAAATATATTATAACTTGCTATAGGCTATAAATATTAATAATTTATATATTATAGTTATTTCCTAAATATCTAGAAAAACTAATGTTAAATAAAAAAAAAAAAACGTCGTGAGATAATGAGGACCGGTGCATCCACTGTTATAAATAGTTTAATATATGTGTGTAAGCAACGATAAACCATTGCTTGCGAAAAAACGATTCTAAGCGGAGTTCAGTTGATAATAATGATTTTTCATTTTATAGTAAAATAATTAAATAAGCTTATTTTAATTAATAATATTTGTTTAATATTATACCGATTATCCCAGTTTATCTACGATTTTCCCGTTTTTTCTCTGTTTTTATCGGTTTTTCAAATTTGATGAGAAAACACCTGAGAAAACTGAAAAATTGCTTCTCTAAGTACTCCCTAACACTGATTTCAGAAAAGGTACTTAAAAATTTGAGCAAGTTTTATGGTAGAAAAGTTGCACATAGATAAAAAAAAAAAAGTAAATAAACATCTTAGTTAAACAATAAGCATTTTCGCTCCATTCAGAATCTAAAATAATTTAAGAAAACAATGTATAATTTATTATTAAGTATTGCATTTTTTATTAATAATTCAGATCTATATATCTAAACAAATTTATAACTTTCTCCTTGACTGAAAGAATAAAGTTATTATTTATAAATAGTACGTTAATAATATAATTTATAATATTTTTAATATTATTATCCCACAAATTGATAAAAACAATATTAATTTTTGAGCTGTAATAATTGTTTTTAATAGAAGGTTAAAATAATAATTAAAATTAAGTAAACATATTATTTTTTCTATAAAATTAAAGCATAATAATAATTTATCAATATAAATTTGCCGCCCCCTTAATGGACTAAAAATATGACGCCCTGGGCAACATGACTCACTTGCCCCTCTCTCCCCTTAAATACGTACATGACAATAATAATGTGACATTATTATAATATCTACAGTGATAATGCTCGTTCCTCCGGCCGCTCGTGGATAAGGAAAGACAATCATTAAATTATGTCATTACGAAATAAATGAACGATTTTCTTCTGAAGGAGGCCGATGCCTCGATATTATTAGTTCAAAAACCTCTGCTCAACATAAAAGGGTGAAAAGATTCTATGTTTTGACATATGGTGATTCAAATAAGCTGATAACTCGTGGAGAGTGTTATCAGTTAGGTATTATTTGCCGATGGACATTTTGTACTTTCTATTGATTCGACACATAGCGCTGTAGGGTATGGTGGAATATTTCGTTAGAAGGTTTAAACTTCAAGAAATTACGCTAACATTACTACAGTAGACATAATTAACATTTTTATTGTTCCTCTATTAAACCTGGTAGAAAGAGAAAAAACTCGGAAAAAAAGGACTCGTTTTGAAATCAATCTACCCGATTTACTTAATAGTTAGTCGGTAGGCAGGTATTTTTAGCGTTAAGAATGATGTCAAAAACCTTAAAGAAACTAGAATTGGATGTAAAGATTGATAATAGGACGTTACAGGTAAAATTATGTTTCTTAACTATTTATATGATATAATCGAGCATACAGTAGACATAACAGTTATTTAATATATATAGTAGTAAAAAAACCTATGATTAACACAAGTCAGGTTGGCCGAGCGGTCTAAGGCGCCAGATTTAAGCTCTGGTTCCCAATTGGGAGCGTGGGTTCGAACCCCACACCTGACAAACACATTTTTTGCAATATTTTCGAATTTTTTTTTACAGTTTTCGAACAACCGTATTATTCGATATATTTCGTTTAATTATAATAAAATACAATTTTTTTTTATTTTTTTGACAATTTTTTTACGATTTTATATTTTTATATTATCCAATTTCTGAAGATCATCTGAAGTGTTTTGTACGGTTTTACTGATATATAAAATATGACTACATGTAAACTCCTGCAAAAATTACCTTTTTACCTGCATTTAAAACACAGAGTAAACTCCTACGGGGGGGGGGGTCAAGATGGAATCGAGGGGGATAACTTCCCTCCCCCCTCTATGACTTTTTTCTGTTCAATATACATACTAATATATTAGTCATGTTTTATTATAACGTTAGAACGGTTTGAAATTAAATCGTTATAAAATTTATTAAAACCATTTAACTGAATATCTATTATATCCGTTTATTTATTATGTCCAATATCCATGATATGGAACGGTTTAGTAAATATTTTATATACTACGATTTTATTATCTTGTTGAAATTAATTGAAATTTACTTAATTATTTAATTTAAATTAAGTAGGTATTTGACGGGATATAATAACAAAAATCAAGACGTGACTTTTGAAATCAACGCGTTATAATAACAATAATAATTATTATTATAATACTAATTGGCCACGGAACGTAAAAATAAAAACTGATAAAGAAATTAGGTTTCAAAACCGCGTTTATAATGTTATGATATATTTATTTGATAAACCGTTTTAAACGCATCAAATGGTTTTAATTTTTCAAACTACCCATAGTACGAGCGTTTTAATTTTGTAAACGGCCTGATGTTTAAAAGCGTTTATGCGATAAGAATAAGTTTTAGTTTCGAAACCATTTAATTTCAAACCGTTTTAACGCCATCGCATTTAGCCATATAATCTATTTATAAAAACAAAATTAATTTAAATGATAAAACGTATTATTAAAACATTTTAGAAAAAAACGGCCTCATCCTTCATCCCCATGACAAAAATCATTTAACCGTCAGTGAGTACGCTTGGTTGGTTTAATACCAACTTTTGTACATTGAAATTGATTTTGTTTTATTAAATATAATAGGGGTATAAGACGAGTATATGTGTATAGACCATAAAATATTAAGTATAGATAGGCATTTTATTTTTTTCCGAGCATACCAAGAAGACGAATTTTAGCTAAGTTACTTGGCCTAAACAAGTAACTATAGTAACTATATATATATAGTTATATATATATAGTATATATATATATATATAGTATAGTAACTATACTACCGATAGTAATATTATTGTTCGTTTTGAGTATTTTATTTTTCTACAATTATTGTGAATTATTATAATTACGATTATTTCTAAAAAGGAATAGGTACTTGGATTATATAATGGTAATAATTTATTACCTATTATACTCGTAAAACTTTATACTATACAACTAATACCGGCTATGCCTTTCTGAAGTGGTTGAAGGGTTTTAAATCGGTAAAATACGATCGAGGACGACAGTTTTAGTACCTAAGACAATTGCTTTGTTTTTTTTTGTTATCGAACGATTGAGTGCGATATTTGGTACTATAGTCTAGTGTTACACGTACAATTCTATGAAATATTAATATTATATGGGTAAAAATTGAAACGATATTTACCACACAAGCCGTACCATGGAACTGGCAACGGAAATTCAATTGTTGGCAATTATTAAATGGTATATGTGTATAGTATATTATCTTAATGATATAACTGTGATATCATAAGTCATTTTAATAATGCATAATATGATAATATTATTTTAGATTCTGAGTAGAGCGAAGAATCTTATGGTTTTACAAAGATGTTTATTTTTTTTTTTTATCTGTGTGCTACTTTTACCTCTACCAGAAGACTTGCTCCGGTTTTTTAAGCACCTTTTCTGAAAAAAAATCGGTATGGAGAGGTACTTTAAAGAGGTAATTTTTCGATTTTCTATTGAGTTCTCTTATCAAATTTAAAAAATCGAAAAAATTTGCGGAAAACAGGAAAATATCAGAAATGTAGGTATTAATTAAAATATATTTCGATTTTTTTTTTTCTGTTCACAACTTTTCTACCGGCAATTATGCTCCAATTTATCATGATAACAATGTTCTTGAATGGAAATTTGACTGGGGAGGTACTTCAGGGACTATTTTTCGATTTTCCCAAGAATTTTCCAGGCAAATGTGAAAAACCTGGATAAAACATTGTAAAACGTAAGAAAACTAGGAAATTCGGTACAACATTAAGCTAATATTATTAAAGAAAATATAGAAAGCCTATTTAATTATTTTATTAAATAATATGTCATACATATTGTTGACAAAGCATCACAATCAACTGAATTCCGCTCAAAATCATTTTTTCGTAAACAATCTCTTAACGTTACTTATTTTAGGTATAAACTAAATTACTTATAACAGTAGCTGTATCCTGTTCCTATTATTTTAGGACGTATTTTTCGTTTTACTCTTCAGTTTGGATAATGATAAATAAAATGACTTTTATCCAACTGATATAACGATTGATGTATTGTAATTGTTTCTAAACTGAAAAACAATTTCCCTTGAAAAAATATAACATTTTTAATCTTCGATAGCCGTTTAAATACCATCGGAAAATAATGGCCTCCATTAACCGGCATAATATACTCGAGCAAAACGTAAAATAAGAATGTAAAAGAGAACACAAAGATCACGGTAGGTTTTATTGTGTATGTTACATTATTTTATTACTCTGATCGAAGGAGAAAGGGTCATCGGTCATCGAAATTAACGGTGGACATTTACTATAGTTGAAAATTGAAAAATTAATTATTATTAGATTGTTTTATGGTTAACTTTGTAAAACTATAATTGGTGGTTAAACATTTTAATATACTCGTACATGAAGTAATTCGTTTTTATAATAAAACATTGTTACCTACATATATTGCTGGAAAATAAAAATAAAAAACTTAAAATATTATGAAAAATTTAATTCAACTTTTATTCCAGAGATATTTAAATAAAATGTTGCCGTTCCAATCAGCTGCAACTTGTTTTGATCATAGTTAAATTTGATGTTTCTTAGACTCATACCCTGCGGATATGAGATCTAGCTAGGTTATCAACGATTAAACGCACTGATCATTTTAAGTTGCGAAAAAAACATAATAGATAGTTTGTATATCGATAAGCTCGTACAGAAATGACACCACTGAAGCATCACAGTGTTCGACTGTGAAAAAAATAATTTTTAACTAAACAAATAATATTTTACATGTAACCAAAAAAATTAAGCAATTTTAATAATAGTTTTGAATTTTGTTTATGGTTTTATAACAATTAATAATACGTGATCAATTATAATTATACTATTATAGGGAAAAAAGAATGAACATTTTAAATTCTGGCCTTATCTTAAATGATGCTAGTGAAACTTGGGGCCCCAAGCTCGGATTTCCGGTAGACATATCCGGTTTTCGGTATTGTTTCTGTAAGTCACGAGAATTCACCCTATCCTTATCCCAATCCTGTCAAACTGTATAAAGCGTTCTAAACAAGACTTTGGCCGATTGTCCCATCTTGGATGTACGAGGGTACAACAAGTGAGACGAGGTCCCATGGTACACGATGTTTGGCAGGTCGATATAGCTTTGATATAGGAGAAAATCTGGAAGAATTTAACAATAATAGGCTTGAGGCAAACGAAGAGTAGCACTCGAATAAAACGGGACTGATGGTGAGTAGAAGTAAAACAGATAGTGCTCTATACAAAGTTTGGAGGACGGAGACATTTAACGACAATGAGCGGTGAGGTAATAGATGAAGTCGAGTGTTTTAAGTACCCGCGAGATCGGGTCGTGCGATGGTAGTCTAGGAGACGAGGGCGGCCGACACCAAACAATAGTTAGGACGAAGGCCGCGGAGAAGACGAAGAAATCCTATAGTCAGAAATTTAAACGACTGCACCCGTTCAAGTGATTTTTTTTTTTTTGAAATCGCGTACCCGAAGTACGTTTATATATTGGATACGCGTTCGGGCGCCACTGCAGTAAAACATATATAGGTTAGGTACATATACTTATTACGATGTCACCGCGGTTCGCGATAAAAGAATCACACTGTATAGAATGCACGACTGCGGTATATAATACGCGGTATATTGCACACGTGTACCATATATTATTATACTACCGATGCAAGTACACGTATGCTGCAGTATACACACGGTATAAAATAATATTATATTAGCTATTATTATTTTGCTTTTACAGGCGCGCACAATGTACGTGTATGTATATAAAAATATGATATAATATGTACGGTGCCGGTTAGGTATATATACGTCCCGACGAAGATCATATTGTGCGAAGCGCATCGTACGAGAGTTAATTATATTATCGAAAACTTACGACGCTAACGTTATAATATATAAAACCGTGTCTACCTGCCCGGGATAAAGTCGTACGCTACATTATATTATGAAAAATCCCGGGATAACACTGTATAATATGGTATACACCAGCTATACGCGCGATACAATATTGCACGAGCTGCATTGCGATATACGGCATGTCCCGAAAGTCCCGCATCCATCCTGTACATTTAAAAGCGGGGGAGGTTTTTTTTTCCCCGCAGTAATTAGCGAGACGATGCTAATTGAACGGCGGCGGGTTTCGAACAGTTTTTCATAAAATTCAGTATTTTTTTGTTTACGTTTTTGGTACGGCCGATTTATTGATCATAATTTTCGAAACCGTTTTTCAAAAAAAAAAAAAAAAAAAAATTAAAATCTAATGAAAACCAATCAAGTTTTAAGGGTAGATTTTCACTC